AAAACAGTTAGCTTAAACTTTCAAAATAATTTCACTTGTGGGGCTGAGACCAAATATGGAAAGTTTCAGCCACAGATACGAAGAATATCAAGAGCAACAGAAAAAATTGATTGGAAATTGAATTTTATTATTAAATGTATTATTAATCTCTCTAATAAAAATAGTAAAATAGGGTATTTTAGTCTAAGCAATACAATTTAGCCTTTTGAGAAAAATTAAGTGCACTGTCTGCAAAATGGCTTTCCAGAGATGTAATTTTAATATCTCATTTAGGAGTAAATAAATATTTAATAATAGATTACAAAATAATAGTTGCTATTATGTTCTTCAATTCAGACAGTTCAGTTATACACATGTTGAAGATTTTGTCTGCGTCAACTAATATACCCAAATAACTCCCTCTCCCTTTGATGCAGCATTTACAAATCTGGAGTAAAACTATCAAATATATCTGGATTCTTTAAAATATATCTGGATTATTTAATATATACATTTATTTTATATTATAAATTTTATAGAATGTTGAGAATGAAGTTCTATTTTCATATTGGTTCCTCTATCGGCCTTTTTGTGTGTGTATGAATGAATTTAATGTTTCTGTAGTGCTGGATTGAAAGCAGAGCTCTCTGCAGGTGTGTCAGATAGGTACCGCACAAACATTTTCAGTACCCTGCCAATAGGCCTCAGCTCCACCTTGTAGGGGTAGAAGTTTATAGCCAATGACTATGTCTACAGTATGAAATTTTAAAATTTACCACTGTTGCTATCACTGGTTCAGTTCCATAGATACAAACACTGGCATGTGGAAGTGCGAGCATAGGCAAGGTGTTGACTGGCATCAGCGTTTTAAACACTGAGAAATATATACCTGTTCTGAGAAGGGTTACATAACATGAGACTTAAAATAATAGCTACCACCTAGAATCCAGTTGTATGCTAGTTCTCCCAGTTGGCAGTGAAGCTGAACCACTGTAGCTTTGATGAGACTTTTTAGTGAAGGGGAAAAAAAGCCTAGGGTAGACAGAGACAATGCCCATTCAGTCCTTTATTACTCTGATGAGACTATGGTCACCAATAGCGGTGGTTCTTTTAGTAATGTGCTGTATGTTCTTGCCAACTACTTTGAGATCAGCAAACTTATTTTGCGTAGGACACCAAACTCTAGAGAGGGACTGGGAACCAGCAAGATGGAGGTGAATTTTTTCCTCTTTACAGACCAGTTAACCCTCAGCAGACTACAGCTCTGAGACCAGAACACACTATCCAGTATTTTTATAAGCTCTTACTGTAGTCAGAACACTATTTTTAAAAATTTTATGATAGGTTTATTAATTTTTTCAACCAGAATATTTTATAATTTATTTTGTGTATTTAATTTTTTCCAACACTTCAGAAATTTATATGACATTTTTAGGTATCGATTAATAGAAACAGTAACCTGGACATAGCAAGCAATGGTTCCCAATGTGTGGCAGTTCCAGACTGAAGTGACTTTAAGTTCTCTTACCAAGTCTTGCTCCTGTTTTCCATAGATCTATTATTGTGAGGCCTCCTACTGAAGGCAGTGAAAGAGTGGTCCCTAAATGCAGATGGGAGCACTAAGATTTAGAACTGAACTTCTAATTATTCTCATTACTACAGTATTTTAGTTATAGAAGAAAACTAAGTTGCAAAAGGGACAGGTTATTCCACTGCTCTGGCAAATAAGCATGCTTTGCACAAAAAGCATACACTGAAAAAACAGAAGGGGATTTGGAAAAATACAAAGACACTTCTTGAAATCTGTACCTGGAGTCATACAAACGTACAATCAAATTTGATGTGTGCAATTTCATATTTTCTGGTACCAATAAGAGAAGTTATGATGAGTAAATACCTTACTGTTTATCCTATTTCCATCTTATGATAGGAAAAAAATGAGTTTTAAAGAAGTTAGTTATGTCTAGGGCCCTACCAAATTCACGGCCATGAAAATCTGGTCTTTTGTGTGTTTTTACCCTATACTATAAAGATTTCATAGGGGAGACCAGTGTTTCGCAAATTTGGGGTCCAGACCCAAAAGGGAGTTGCAGGGGGGTCATGGTATTGCCACCCTTACTTCTGCACTGACTTCAGAGCTGGACAGCAGGAGAACGGTGGCTGTTGGCTAAGCACACAGCTCTGAAGGCAGTGCCCCACCAGCAGCAGCGCAGAAGTATGAGTGGCAATACCATACCATGCCACTCTTGCTGCTGCCTTCAGAGCTGGGCGGCCAGACAGTGGCAGCTACTGATCGAGGGCCCAGCTCTGCTGGCAGCAGCACAGAAGTAAGGGTGGCAATACCATACTATGCATCCTTACTTCTGCGCTGCTGCTGGTGGCGGCTCTGCCTTCAGAGCTGGGCTCCTGGCCAGCAGCCACCATTCTCCAGCTGCTCAGCTCTGAAAGCAGTGCCTCCACGAGCAGCAGCAAGGGTAGCAGTACCGCAACACCCCTCCTCCCTCCCAAAAAAACCTTTTTGGGTCAGGACCCCCTATAATTACAACACCGTGAAATTTCAGATTTAAATAACTGAAATCATGAAATTTATGATTTTTAGAATCCTATGACTGAAATTGACCAAAATGGACCATGAATTTGGTAGGGCCTTAGTTATGTCATACTCAAGGAATCAATAGCAATATCATCCCCAATTTTCCATGAAAATAGTGCTGAGTTAGGAGAAACTTTGAGACAGTCACACAGCCTCGATGCAATTAAATGCCCCTTCAAAAGAAGTGTGTTTTATGAGACATTTCTACATCAACTAAATCATTAATGATGGGTACCAGTGATAGTAAAGTAATTGAGCATATTCAATAGTCATGGCTTCTTGAATGAAAATGAGTTACATTGGCCACACACATATTTTTAACATATGACCGAAATTTTCTTAATCTTTGTCGTGAGGGGAGCTAAGAAAGACTCAGAGTAACTGCTGACCCACTTATATAGTGCCTTTCATGTTATTTCTATAAACTATAGTAATTATTCAGTAGGCTTTTTAAAAAATTGTGGAAAAGCTATTGCTTAGTGTCTTTCTGCAATTATTAACTAGGTGTACATATTACAGATCTAAAAAAACAACAAAAAAGCATTTACATCAATTACACTTGCAAGACGTCGATTTTTTAAAAATGTATTTCTGAAGAAAGCATATAAATCTTACTAATTTAAAACATCAAGACAACCCTTCCTTCTCTATCAGGTTACCGGGAGAACCGCTACACATTATAGACAGATACAGCTACTCACTTATAGCGAGGCCATAACTAACTGTTACCAAGATGCAAAAGGAATCAAACAGATGCAAGGTATCCAGCCAAACATCTTTTTCCAAAATACTGAATTCATTTATAAGTACAGTACTTTTTTAAAATCCACCAAATTTGATTTTAATAAAACTTTATTTTTAGATGTTATGTTACATGAACATTAAGGTTCACCAAATCACATCAGTAAATCATCAACAGTGAACAAGTACATGAAACATACCCAAATCTTATACGCCAGTAACTCAGTATCTCCTAGAGAATTGTACAGGATGTGTGCATACATGTTTATATGCATACATCCCAGGGACTGTGTCACCAACTCTACCAGCACAATTTGTAGAGGGAAACGCCAAACATGATGAATGGACCTGTAAATGTCTCATTGACATATACAGCAAAAGCCTTCCGCTTCAAAAGGAAGAAGGCAGTGGGATCTAGGCTTGATACCCACTCTTCCATCTCCCCATGGGCCTTAACCTGAACCCTTAATCTCTTACCACCCCCCCCCCCCCGGGGGCCCGTGGGCCCCCCCCCGCCCCCCGGGGGGCACAGCAGGTCCTGTCCAGACCGCCCCCCCCCTCCGACAGGCAGCGGGTCCTGTCCTAACTACCCCTCTCCCCTCCCCACACTGGGGAGCCGCGGCCCTGATTCCCCCCTCCCCACACTGGGGAGCCGCGGCCCTGATTCCCCCCTCCCCACACTGGGGAGCCGCGGTCCTGTCCTAACTACCCCTCTCCCCTCCCCTGTCCGTCCCCACACTGAGGGGCTGCGGGCCGGGTCCAGCCAGGGCTCTGTTGTGTTGTCCATCCCCCCAGGGTGGAGGCGAGGCAGGGCAGCGGCTCTACCTCTCCTTACGCCGGGCGGGGAGCAGCGCGGGCGGGCGGCCGCCCTGCCAGGACCTCCCGGGGGCAGAGCCGGGCCCCCGCCATGTTGGCCCCGCAGAACAATAGCCCCGGGGGGCTGCCCCCCTCCTCCGCGGCGCCGCCCCACAGCCCCCTGGCAGGTCTGGGAGCCAGAACGCCCCGCGCGCGGAGGGGGTGGGGAGGGCAGACTGGGCGCGGCTCCTCCCGCCTCGGCTGCCGCGAACCCTGCAGGGGAGTCAAGGAAGCGGAGAGAAAATTCAGAACGAGTCTACTCAACCTCGTCTTGGCTCTCGTAGGCACCACCATGGAGACAGCCGTATAGCGCAGGCGCAGCAACGCCCTCCCTACCGTGTGGTGTGGTCCCCATGGGCCACCGTACAACCCGGAAATAATGGCCCCCAAAAAGTCTTACTGAAGCTGACAGGTGGTACGGGGAAGAAGTCGCTACCCGGCTGTGAGGCGGCGCATGGCATATTGGGAGTTGTGGCCTCTCGCGCTATGCGTGCTGGGATTTGTAGTCTCGGGACACCTCGTTGACTGCCATTCTGATCCCCGTGGGCCGCGCTGCATGCTGGGACTGGTAGTTTCCATGGAGCCTGCCATAATGAAGGTTGGCGGGTCTCTGCATTTGCCTCACAGGCTGCAGCGTGGGTGCGTGCGCGAGTAGCTCCCATTCTCACCCAGCCAGGAACTGGTGGGCGGAGCGTCCAGCGCGGCTTGACAGAGGGAGCGGCTCCGGGCCCTTAAGAGCAGCCCCCACTAATCGCTGGCGGAATGCTCGATCTGTGCTGCTGCTCCGGGCTGATTGACTGCGGCTCCGAGACACGTGCTTTCTCTGCTCCTCTGGCTGGGGAGAGAGAGCTCAGGGCCGGGTCCAGCCTCCTGTCCTGCACCCCGTGTCAGTCCTCAGCTGGGCACAGACGCACGCACACCGCCCCGGCCCAGCCTCGCCCTCTCCGACCCAATGGCCCAGCTCCAGGCTCGGTTCTTCACCGAGAACCACAAGTGAGTGTGGGATGGCCTAACTGCCCGGGGGTGGGGGCAAGGGAAGCGTGGACAGGAACGATACTGATGAGCGATGCTCATCCTGAGCGGTCACACACCATGTGCAGGCCACCACCACGGCAGGGTGGGTGGGTGGGAAGGAGAGCAACTAGAAGAAGGGAAATTGAGGCTACGGCTACACGGTCAAATCTTACTGGGGTGGGTGGATGTTTTGTAGAGTTGGTTGGTTGGGGAGGATAGATTTATTTACTTCATCTTTCCTGGCAAACAGCATTCCCTAACAAAACTCCATAAATTCCTACAAGTTAATTGAAAATATCGGTGAGTGCCTCTATAACATCTGTAATCAAGATGTACACGGTGGCCCTCATTTTGCTTCCACTGAAGTCAGAGGCATCCTCTCTGATTTTAGGGGGAGTGGGATCAGGGCCATAATCTAAGCGTTGGCAAATGTACAGCTGTAAGGGATGGGGCTTTAGCAACTCTTTTAATATTCACTCATTTTCTGTACTTTCCCCGTGCCACTGGCTTCTCTACCAGCTAGATTTCGCTTGGATCTTAGAGATGAATTTGGAGATACTATAGTGTATATTACGAGCTATTGTATTTGTGAATGTTAGAGAGGAAGTTTCAAAAAAGGTGAAAAAAAGTGTTCCTGGTTCTTGCTTGGCTACGCACGAGTTGAACTTCAGAAAATCTTACCAAAGGGAGCCTAAACTATACAGTATAATGAGATTAGGATGGGCAGGATTCTTGAAACAAGTGCAAATAAAGTATGTGTCCATTCAAACTGCAAAGTGTTTAAACTCCTCACTTGCAAAAAGAGCTGTATCACAGACTTTTAAATAATATGCTTATTTTGTACCTGTTGAGCTGTGAGTTTCAGCACTTCTCAATAAGTAAATTCCTATTTTCTTCCCTCTAGGTATGTAGTAGATGATGTTCCATTCTCTATCCCAGCAGCCTCTGAAATTGCTGATCTCAGTAACATCATCAATAAATTGCTGCAAGCTAAACATGGTATGTATTTGGAAGGTGATTTACCTCTTTTAGAAAAAGGAATACTTTAAAAAAAAATAGAAACTTACTAAAGTATTTAGAATCTCTTCATAAGTGTGTAAACTATAGGGGCTTAAAATACAAAGGTTCCACTCCTGCAAAGACTTATGAACATGCGTACAGCAAAGCATACAAGACTCGTCAAGATTCCTTGGTTGGAAAAACAATTGTTTTCACAGTTGGGCAAAATTCTCCTTTCAAATTTTCATAGAGGATCTTACCTCCCTTATTGTTCTTACTTGTCTTATAGTATCTTTAACAGTTTCTAGGCATCGTACATGATTATTAAAAATATAGCCCTTGATTCTGCACTCAGATCCATGCAGATGGATCCTTATGCCCACAAAGATGTACTGTACATGTATACAGTATGGTGTCTATGCTGGCAAAGCTATACTGGCATAGCCCCCTAGCGTAGAAACAGTTTACACCAAGAGAGAGTTCTTATGTCAGTGTAGGAACATCCCCTCCCCAAACAACTTTAGCTGCATTGGCAAAAGCACTGTTCTGGGTATGGGTTTTTTCACAATGCTGACCGACATAGCTATGGCAATATAACTTTGTAGACCAAGCCAGAGTTTGATTGAAGTCAGTGGAACCATACACAAGTACGGGTCTGCTTGCACAGGACTGATCGCATGAATGATTGGGGGAAATCAAGAGTGTAAAACCCATAAGCAGTCCTGCCCTTTGTGTTTTTAAAAATAAAAAAGAGACATACTTGTTGTGTCAATCTCACCGTTACTTTGTTCTCACTTGGCTCTTCTCTACCTTTTGTCTGGCTACATATTTAGATTGTAAGCTTTTTGGGGAAGGGACTGTTCCCAGCCCCCCATTCTATTTATACAGTACTTATCACATTGGAATCCTGATCGTCCCCTGTAGGCACTATTGCAATGCTAACAATAAAAATCATTTTGTCTAGATCATCCAACTAAAGTGAAAGAGAAAAAAAAAGAAATAGAAACAAAAATTTTAATCCAGTTGACTGACTAAAACCTTGCAGTGTTATTTGAAACTCACCTGACTCTTTCCCTGGTGAGCAGTCAGGGGAGGCAAATTCCAAAGGTTGGTACCTGGGACTTTGGTTAGCCAACGACAGAGATGCTCCAGCAGGCAGAAGTGGAGGTATAATTGGGTCTCAGCCCATGTAAAACTTTAAAAGTTGTTGTTAACTTCTCAAATTGTAACCAAAATTGAAGAGGTAACACCTTAGAAGCCTGGAGTCCTGGCTCCAGAGATGCTACTTATAGAAACTTAAGTGCTGTTTTCTCCAAGGCATCCTTTGGGTCAAGATCTGCCCTCAGTTAAATCTGTGTAATCCCTTTTAGATAATGTGGTTGAACAGTTGTAACTGGGAGAAGAAGCAACAGAGTGCATGAATCCTACGAAGTGGGCATTCACCCATGAAAGCTTATGCTCCAATACATCTGTTAGTCTTAAAGGTGCCACAGGACTCTCTGTTGCTTTTACAGATCCAGACTAACACGGCTACCCCTCTGATACTTGGGAGAAGAAGGTGGCCCTTGAATTTATTTTAACTAAATTTAGTTTCTGTCCCTAAAATTTGCTCTTTTTTCTGGATTGTATAAGTTAAGACTTGAAATTTAAACATTGTTTCTTGTTTGTCTTAGAGGACCACAAATATGTGGAGTTTGATTTCCTTGTCAAGGGCCAGTTCTTGCGTATGTCACTGGTCAAACACATGGAAGCGGAAAACATCTCAACAGTAAGTCATACGCACTTTCTGTGGACCACGCTGTAGGATGATGGGATTTAAAGATCCCGACCTAGACCATTTAATTAGATACAGATTTTAAATTTGATCTGGTTTACAGTTCTGATTAGGAAAGTTCTCTATATTCCATGTATTTTTCTCCCTTAGTATTCCTTTGCCTTTCTGATGAAGCCCAAATAATTTCCCTTATTTTCCTCTGAAAACCCTGCATTATTCTTTTGCCCATGGAGGATTCACCAAGACTTGTTTTGGAGCCTGAAAGTGCTCCTAATGATTAGAGTTTGCTGTTGAGCAACCTGAGACACTTCCTTCTCCTGTTGTCTGGTTTCATACAGTTCTGGAGGGAGACTGGTCCCATTTTGGTCACCATCAATGTACTTTTGTCTCCTGCTCTGCTAGTCTGTAGTCAGTGGCCCTATGTAGGTCAAATGATATGAAGTATTATAGACACTCCACTACTAAGCATGATAAGCATAGTGGGGAAAACCTAGAAAAGAAAAGGAACAACACTTACTTTGGAAATCATTTGCAGCTACTTTTAAACACTGTCTTAGTAGTAATTTGATAAGCCAATAGGTAGCGTTGATCAGTAGTGATGTACTTGTACTTAAGGTAACGCTCATTCGCTAAGAGCCCAATCCTGCAAACACTTAAGCATGTGTGTAACTTTAATCATGTGAGTAGGCCCATTGACTTCAATAGGACTGCTCACCTAAGTAAAATTACACACATTCTTAAGTGTTTGCAGCATTGGGCCCTTAATTATGAATCTTTGTGCTGGGCCCTGATGCATTGCTACCATCGGCCTTCTGTTCAGTTATGCATATGCTTGCCTGTCAAGGAGTTAGGGCTACCTGAATCCCCATTTGCAGTAGCAGCTCAATTTCTAAGGCAGAGTAGAGCGCACACAGGCGCGTGGAAGGTAGGGGACTCTGGCTTGTATAGTTGATACCTTTGTCTTGCCAATTGATACCACTGCTCGGAGTGGTTGGGAACTACTGTACTAGATCATTGTGATTGTTTATTTAAAAAGAAAAAGCACACTGATGGGCTTCTTGTCTTTTGAGAGTTTAGGAGGAAGTGGTGGAAATAGAATATGTGGAGAAGTACACTGCACCTCAACCCGAGGAATGCATGTTCCATGACGACTGGATCAGTTCTATTGAAGCTACGGAAGAATGGTATCGCAGACCCACTAAGCCAGTCATAAGTTTCCATCTTGGTTTCTCCCACTGTCTGTAGCTGATTCCATAGTTATTAATTGGTACTTCTCTTTAACATAGTTTTCTTCCCATTCCATATTTCTCTTTTCCTTTAAATGACTTTTCTACCTTTTAAATCAATTGTTTATATGCAGGCCATATGCCTGGGAAATTAGCTGAAGTTTGAGCTCCTCCATGCTACCTTGACAGTAACTTTAACCCAAGTAGGAAGGTACCATGCATAAGAGGATGAGATTTGCTCCTGGTATGAGTTAGAACTGATGAGTAGCACTGATGATATTATCTCCTTTAATAAAACAACAACAACTTGCTGTCTTTTTACATTTATTTCTAACATTTCAATATTTTATACTTCAGATATTAATTCTAAGTTATTACTGTAGTTTCAAAACCCTTATCTGGAGTGCTTTTAAAGAAATGTTTACCACACTACTTGTCTTTTCTACTACAGTAGAACCTTAGAGTTACCAACACCTCAGGAATGGAGGTTGTTTGTAACTCTGAACAAAACATTATGGTTGTTCTTTCAAAAGTTTACAACTTAACATTGACTTAATACAGCTTTGAAACTTTACTATGAAGAGGAAAAATGCTGCTTCACTTTTTTTTTTTTAGTAATTTACGTTTAATAGTACTGTACTGTATTTGCTATTTCTTTTTCCATTTCTGCTGGTGCCTGATTGTGTACTTCCGGTTCCAAATCAGGGGTATGGTTGACTGGTCAGTTCGTTACTCTGGTGTTCGTAACTCTGAGGTTCTACTATAGATATTTCCAGAGCTGTTGTTAACTATTGATTATACTGAGACTCCCCCATTTATTAATGGATTGAAAATGCTTTGCTAATCAGTGTAAAGAATTTATTATAATTATAATTTTTCTTTGGTTGGTCTTAAATTAGACATGAGACTTCAGCATTTAATTTACCAGAATGATCAATATTCTCACTTCTCTCTCCTGTATACCTTGTCTAGAAATCCACAGCTAATTCATTCCTTAAGAAAGTTTGTTTTGAACCTATTAAAATCTAAATTTGATCCAGTTTTTGCAAACAAGTTAAATTTTAATGTTAACTTTTTTTTATTTCAAAGAGGACTAAGATTTACATAAAGGAGATGTTTTATTTATTCATGTCTCTTAACTGGTTATCATACTAATAGTTTCAAAGTTCCTAATTGAAAAGATCTCCCGTGATGCACCATTGGCTTTAAAAAATGTTTCAATATCTGCATCCCCTAGGATCTTGACTGGCTCTTATGATCAGACTTCTCGAATCTGGTCTTTAGAAGGAAAATCCATCATGACAATTGCTGGGCACACAGAGGTGGTGAAAGATGTGACATGGGTGAAAAAAGGTCAGTACACCTTATACTGGTTGGGAGTGGGGCTAGAGCAATTTACTGGAAAACATACAGGTTCAATTGCCAACCTAAATGTTACAGCTATTGTAAGCACTGCTTGTAATATATTAGAAATGAAATAATTGAGTAAAATCCCTCATGATAAAATACTTTTTAAACAAACTCCAGTATTTTCTAATAACTATTTAAATATTCTAAGTTAATCTTCATTAATATTTGTACATTTAAATCTGTGATACACCGGACCCTCGCTAGAACACGCGTCTATATAGAGTGAATTCGCACAACACGGTTGCGGCCATGGATCCCAAATTTAATTACTTTAATTGCAATTCATTTTAATTCAGTACCGCGCATGGATCCCAAATCCCACATTCTAGCTAGGGTCCGGTGTATTTACATGAATCTCTTAATTTGTATTGGGTCACTGTGTAAATTTTTAAAATCTTAATCTTACTTCCTCTAAAAGGATTTTTAGAAAGATTTCCTTAATTGGATTTGTATGTTGGCACTTTCTTCCTTCCTTAGATAGTTTGTCATGCCTGCTACTCAGTGCCTCTCTGGATCAGACTATCCTGCTGTGGGAGTGGAATGTAGAGAGGAACAAAGTGAAAGCCCTTCACTGTTGTAGAGGACATGCTGGAAGTGTGGACTCTATAGCAGTTGACTGCACAAGAACTAAAGTGAGTTACTTGCAGGAGATCTGTGTTGAGCTAGTGAGTTGTGGATTCAGTTTTGCTTGTTTATGTGTAAAAATCAAATTTTTTGTCCTCCGCATGTGAATTGGTCGTATGTTGTCAAGTGCATACAATTTGTATAAACCTATGTATTAATTGTGGATACCAAAGCACTTATAAATTGGTGATAGCCTTGCATTCGACGTAATGGAAGTAAGTGCTGTATTGAAAAGAAAAGATACATAAAACCCTTAATATTGCACACAAAGCTGAAGATGATTTTGGTAGCATAGGCAACATTTTGAGCAGAAAGATGACTTTCTGTGGCTTATGTGAACTAGTTGGATTTTACATAATCTTTTTAATAAAAAGTTTCTGTTCATCTAGTTCTGCAGTGGATCTTGGGATAAGATGTTAAAGATCTGGTCTGCAGGTAAGATTAATATTTTATGAATACTTTGCCTGAAATTTTTGGCTCTAATTGAGAGTTTTAAAATTTAATGATCTGGAATGACTGAAACTTCTGAATAGATTTTATTTTAACCATTTTAAATGGGTATTATGTTTTAATTTTTCACTTTTGAAGTTTATATATATAATATGTTCAGTTATACCAGAAACTCTTATTTTGACGTGTTACTGCTTTTATACATTTTCCATTTCTGAGAATAAAATGCATGTTCTTGTGGGTTTTCCCCCCCCTTAAATATAGTTGCCTATAGTGGGGCAGAGCAACAAGCTGTCTCAGGCCATCCAGCCTAAGGTGGGGAGGCTGCCAACTCCAGGGGTGGGGCTGGTAGCAGGGGATGGGGAGGTCCAGGCCCACCCTACTCCACCGGATCCTAACCATGGGCCCTGACTATGGCAGAACCCTCCACCACTGGGTCAGCAGGGATCCCACTGAAACACACTGACCTACTCTGGCAACCAAACCGGACTAATATCTAGTGCCCCAGGGCTACTTCCTACTGTACCTCCATCTCCTGGGGTTCCTCCTTCTCCTCGGGGTATGTGGCCAGCGACACCCCTTCAGGGTTCTCGGCACTGAAGAGCTCCGTCTCGGGCACAGGGCTCAGCAGCAGGCGAGGGACATCTGCTCCCTTCTCCGGCTCTCACCCAACTGAACTGCAGGGCCTGCCTTTTAAACTTCCTGTCCCGCCCTTCTGGTTCTGGGGAGGGAGAGGGGGGGCGTGGCTTGCCTGGATCCACCTACCAGGGGATGGGGAGCGGATCAGTCTCAGAGGGAGGCCACGCCTCCTCACTATAGTAATTTATTATGGTGCAACAGTAACTGTCCCAAGAGTTCAGTTTTAACAATTTAACTTCTGTTTTTTCTGCGATAATGGACACTGTCACTTAAAACAGATTAAAGCCCCCAGTCTGCACTGACATAATGCGGCAGACCTCTGCACAGATTTAATTACAGGGTCATGGCGTACACTTAACTTAAACACTTAGATTTCACGTATAGCTGCCAACTGGGTGTCTTTTTTCCAAATACTATCTACAGATTTTAGCATTCAGTAGGCTCGTACAGTTTGTAGTTTTTAATATGGACACTTTAAGAAGTTGTGGACTCTTTTCCTAATCTTCTTTTATAGGCATTGTGACTTGAGGGACAATAAATTGACTAAACTGATCCTGACCTGGTGACATAAAATAACCATACAGTCCTTCGCTAGCCAGTTGGATGCCTCCTTTCAAAATGCCCATTTATATTTCTATATAAATAAATGTGTAAATTAAAATATAGAGTGACTGTGTACAGAATATAGGATGGATTTATTGAGTTTTTTTCCATGAAAGAAGGATGGTCTTGTAGAGGAATTCATCTAGGACGTGGAAGATCTGAGTAAATTTATTTGTGCCTAAATTCCTCAGCTGTAAAATGGGAATAATAATACTGATCTAATTGACAGGAGTGTTGAGGATTAAATTTATGTTTGGCAGGCAATTGGATACTGTGGTGATGGGGGTGGGGAGGCATGTAAGTACTTAGCTGGGAATGCATCCCAAAACCTTCTAAATCAAGCTTGGCTTTCTTTCCATCCTAGTGCCTACAGATGAAGAGGATGAAATAGAGGAAGCAGCAAACAGACCAAGGAAGAAGCAGAAAATTGAACAGCTGGGACTAACCAGGGTAAGAAGTGGTCAGGATTTATGTAGAATCTCAGCTGAAAAGCATGGAAATGGAAAATATTTTCCCTTTTTGATAAATATGTGTAGGGGGAAATTTCTGATGAAATATCTGAAAATTAATCTACATACAAACATTTATTTGGTGAAATACAATACTAAGCCACTATTTTTCTGATCTTAATACTTTATTTAATTTCTAGACTCCCATTACAACTCTTTCTGGCCATACTGAAGCCATCTCCTCTGTGCTGTGGTCAGATGCTGAAGAAATTTGTAGTGCATCATGGGATCATACAATTAAAATATGGGATGTGGAGACAGGAGGTCTCAAATCAACTTTGGTGAGATTTCTTTACATGTTGTACATTAAAACTTCACCAGATTCCCACTGGTGTAACTCCAGTTCAGTTTGAATTTAGAATTTTTACAAGAGTAGCTCCTAACTTATGAATTCTTTTCTTATGCAGACCGGAAACAAAGTATTTAATTCTATCTCCTACTCACCATTGTGTCGGCGTCTAGCATCTGGGAGTACTGACAGACACATTAGATTATGGGATCCCCGCACTAAAGGTGAGCAAAAGTGAATGTGTGGGTAACACGAATGACTTTTCAAATTAATGTGTGTTGAGAGAAGGGGGTACATCTTAACACATTTCATAAGATATACACACACAAACTTTGGTATTTGTCTGTAACTGTTTCCTAACTGGGGAGCTAGACGATTTTAACCAAAAATTAACAGGAGCAGTGGGGACAGGGAAAGCTGTATGAACCCGGATCCTTTCCACATTCCATTGCAAAAATGCTCCCATGACTGTGTAAAGTGATGAGAAGCTATCCTCATTCCCTCCCTGCTCTTAGTGAGCCTTGTTTCAGCTGACCACAGCAGTAGCTCATTTAATTGGCTATTTTAAGTACTATTGCTTTTTGCCTTTTGAGGCATGACCTTTTCATTCTTAATAACTTTCATTCCTTAGACAGTAACTTGGAAAACAAATCCAATTCTTCTCTTTTAAAGACATTTCTTTTTTAGTGAATTTTGAAAGCTGCCCTGCTAACAGCCTTGAAATCTAAGGTCACTTTTATCAGTGGGTTAAATGCCACTGTTTTGTCAGGGTGCCTAAACCCTGAATAGGGGAGACCATCTGTAGAAGTGAAAAAGTAGCTGATTACATGTCTGATCAAACTTTGTACTCCTTACAAGTCTGAAATGACTGCCAATCATTGCAGTTCATGATATAGACAGACTACCACACATCATAAGCCAGACAGGAATGTCTTTTTAGCCACTACAAACCAGGCCAGATTTGAACCAATAAGCTAGAGATAAAAGCAGGGGTGGCTCCAAGCACCAGCGCACCAAGCGCGTGCCTGGGGCAGCAAGCCGCGGGGGGCGGCCTGCCAGTCGCTGTAGGGGCGGCAGTCAGGGAGCCTTCGGCGGCATGCCTGTGGGAGGTCCGCCGGTCCTGTGGCTTCGGCGGCGGGCACGCCGAAGCCGTGGGACCGGTGGACCTCCCGCAGGCATGCCGCCGAATCCACGTTACCAGCGGACCTCCCGCAGGCGCGCTGCCGAAAGCCGCCTGACTGCCGTGCTTGGGGCGGCAAAATACATAGAGCTGCCCCTGGATAAAAGGCTTCATATCCCATTACTGATCCCTAGAGCCATTCAGTAATCTTCATCAAAGAAACTCCTTCAACAGTGGAAAACGTGCCTCTTTGGTAACAATAAGGTGGTTAGATTTTTGTCCTTTCTACAGGAGCTTGTGTGCGTGCGTGCGTTTTAACCTCTCATGCTGTCTGAAACAATCTTATGACATGATGAGCAGGAAGAACTACCCGGCCCCCACATGTGTTAATCTTGACTGCTTCTCGTATACTGATGGATTTTATAAATATCTTAAACTGACCTGTATACATTTCTGTAAATTGGGGTGGTGGGTTTTCATTTTCTCTGTCCCAGATGGTTCCTTGGTACTCCTCTCTTTGACCTCTCACACTGGCTGGGTGACGTCTGTGAAGTGGTCCCCTACACATGAGCAACAGCTAATCTCAGGTTCTCTAGACAACGTTGTCAAGATTTGGGACACAAGGAGGTAAATGCCATTCTTTAATATTCACAGGTAGCACGTAGAGTTTCATGTAGCCTAGTGACACAACAAAAGCATATGGGGAAGTTAAATGGAGACTCCAACTAAATTTCTGGAATCCGTATGGAGATTAGAAACACCTAATAGAAGAGCGAGAAATGCACTTGCCTTCTGCCAGCAGCTCTGTGGCTGGACATTGAAATCAACTGCATTGACCTTCCCACCCAGGATTTCTGTGGCAATACTGCACTGAGTGAGATGATGTGGAAAGAGGTTTCATTAATAATTTTGCTAGTGGGTTTAATTTTTTGTGGGTTTTTTTTTTTTTTAAATCTTAGTTACCCTAGCAAGATTTTTAGGAGTATCTGTCTTCCGGAAGGAGCCTAATGTGTGTAGTTTGATTTGCTTCCCATTGTGGACATTTCATAACACGTAGCTGCAAGGAAAGGAGTAGTTTGTGTCTGAAACAGATACTTGCAAAAGCGAGAGGTCTAGGTCAGTGGTTCTCAACCAGGGGTCCATGTACCCCTGGGGATATGCGAGGTCTTCCGGGGGTACATCAACTCATCTAGATATTTGCCTAGTTTTACAACAGGCTACATAAAAAGCACTAGCAAAGTCAGAACAAACTAAAATTTCATACAGACAATGACTTGTTTATACTGCTCTATATACTATACACTGAAATGTAAGTATAATATTTATATTCCAATCAATTTATTTTATAATTATATGATAAAAATGAGAAAGTAAGAAGTTTTTCAGTAATAGTGTGCTGTGACACCTGTATTTTTATGTCTGATTTTGTAAGCAAGTAGTTTAAGTCAGGTGAAACTTGGGCGTACTCAAGACAAATCAGACTCCTGAAAGGGTTACATTAGTCTGGAAAGGTTGAGAACCACTAGTCTAAGTCCAACAACATCTGACTTGAAAGGGGTAATGGTAGAGAAGACCAATTGGTCTAGGGTTTGATTGCATAATCAAGGCTTTAATAATAAACTGTGTACCTAGTTTTTCACCTGCCTGCAACTTGTTTAATGAGATTACTATTTTTGATTTTTTTCCTATGCTGAACATGGCAGGAGTAGAGCTAAAAACTCATGTGAGCTTCTTGGGGAGGTATCTTGGACTTCATAGACTTGTGGATATCTGATGTTTGTGTTACCATGCACACCTTCACAACAATAGGTCTCACAAGACTTCCCAAACACAAAAATGGTGCCCTACTCACCAGTAGCCATCTGAGGTAGTCAGCTGCCACAGAGAAGTCACCACTCTTTTTTCCAACACTGAACAGAGCTTTCATCCTGTTGGTTTGGTGCTGCAGTGTTAAGGCTAGCTCACCACAGAAGTACAGTGATTGTTTCCTCCATTCTGAGTTATGCACCTACTGTTCCTGGTGCCACACCTTGAACAACTTTCTCTCATCAGTCCATGGCCCTGGTCAGGATCCAAAAATTGCATTTCCTGAGTGAATATAATCCTCAGATACTGCATAAAAGCTAGCTACTCCAGGGTGGGGGCACCAAAGATTTTGTCAGTAGCTACTGCTCTGATTCTGTTGCTCTGGAGGTGCTCTCAGAACATTCTCCATGGCCTTGCCTCAGATGCTTTGCAACTGTTCTTCATTAGCCTCATCAGAATCCTTTTTTATTGAGTAAGAAACAAGAGCTAAGTGTTCACCCCTGGTTTCCATTTTGCGAAAAGGAGTAGGAAATGGCACCGCTACCCAAAGCCTTATGGGAGCTTGACTTCTTATTCCACAATTCCTCTGGGCTCCCAGAAGGCCCTTCAGAATTTCCAACAAGGCACTGCTCCAGAGCGTACCCAAAAGGCAGTGCAACTTTCTAATGGTGTAATATAGTACAAGTGTGCATGTGGGCCAAAAGAGCATGTCTTGTGTAGACATCCTGCACCACTGATGCTATCTGACTGGTCTAGTTACCAATGATCCACTTACCTAGTATAGACACAATCGTACAGAAATACATGCTAGAATCAGGAACAGCTGTTGTCTGAATTCAGTGGTGGGAAGACCAGTGTATGGCTTAATTCTGTTCTCCCCCAAGAAGTATAGTGGTAGAAGTATGGTTTTTAAATGTTACAAGATTATAGTGTGATCAAACCCAGAATTTTCTAGGAGTGAAAACTTTGTATATAATTTTACTTAATTTATGACTCTAAATGTCTATCTTATCAGTTGCAAGGCTCCTCTCTATGATTTGGCTGCTCATGAAGACAAGGTTTTGTGTGTGGAATGGACAGAAGCAGGGGTAAGAATTCGAGGAACGGGATTTTATTCCTTAAATGTGTGTTTTGGATGGGAAAGGGGCTGATGATGGTATGATTGATGTTTAATTCTAAACTAGAGAACAACAATGAACTTTTTACTATTGGATATCTCCTGTTGGTGTGCGTGGATCATATTCTCTCTTTTGCTTGTATGGCATGGAGGAGACCAGAAGGCCTTAATTGTAGCAGGATGGGTTAGGGTGGACTCTCTGTAGGGGAAAAGTGGTTATTCACCATCATTACCAGATGGCCATCCCCCTCCCGTCCATGGGGATTATATGAAAGCTCTGCACCATAGCATTAGGGGGACAAAATCAAGGAAGGGTGGAAGTCAGAACAGCCACTCCAGGTGGCATGTTTCTTTCTCTAGACATGGGAACTTATGATGAAAATTACTCCTGTGCTCCTCTAAGCGGCATTTTCTCCTCTGTGGCATTAGACTATGGAGGTAGCATGCACAGGCAGCTGGACCTGGCAAAGGTGTGCTGCCACTTCTTTGTGGCATGGGCAGGAGCATGATGTTTACCTTGGGGCTCAGCTGCATGTATCTAAGCACAGCATAGGTTTTGGAGACTCCAACTCCACAGTCCCAGGGGCCCTACCTCTTAGACTGAGATGTGGCAGACCAGTGAAAGCCTTAGACTTTTTCACGTAAGCTTTACCTTCCCCTAATTGGTTTTTGTAGGAGGGTAAGATATAGGCCTGTATTATTTCTGAATTTGAACCAATTAAAACGGACTATGGGGTTCACATCACCATTGTTTGTTACTCCTGACATTTAGCTCTTCAGAGGAAGAACAGAATCAGACTGCTGAGGAATAATTTTAAATATTTATTCAGCTCATATGTGTTGCCCAGGGACAAAAATTGTGTGGATATTTACTTGGTTTGACAGTGGGCACAACTTGTTTTTCCCCATTACAGTTGCTGTTGAGTGGAGGGGCAGACAACAAGCTATATTCCTATAGATATTCAGCAACAACCTCTGATGTTGGAGCATGAAAATGAATGGCAAGAAGATTTTAGAGGTTACTTTCCAGTAGCCCTAACCTGTTGGAAGTTTTTAGATAACATACAGTTCAGCATCTGAAGAAAACAGCCTCCTAGAAAAACTGTCTGCTTCTACTTTGTACCAGAGAGCAGCCCTTTCTGGTTTTTGTATTATAGCAACATGTATATGTATTTATAACAGACAGACAGAACCACCAAGCAACCTCACGCTTATCTGGTCTGATATTGAAATCAAACATTTGTCTCCTTTTCTCTCATAAGGACTATATAAAGAACATTGGAGTTTATTAAAAGTAAAGTGTTACTGAGATTGCTAGATGAATTACTCACTAAACTAAATTATTTTGTATTAATTCACATTCTCTTTTTTATAAAGCTTTTATCTATAAAGTTCAGTATAGTCTGCTCAAGTAGGTACTTGAGTTACACAAGTTCCAGGTGCTTCAGTGGTAGCTGGAGGTGCTTATTAGCTCAAGATTCACCCCTCACCCCTGAACAACATCTGATCCTGCTTCCACTGAAAGAAATGGAATTAGGATAAGGTCCTTAATAGAGTTGTGATGCAAATTATGTCACCATTATAGTTTCAAGGTGTTCTCTATTGATTTTATTGGCAAATGGAATATTTTGGTTCCTGTCATTCATAAATTAAGGTGGTGTAAATGTACACTTTAAAAAAAATTACTGGCTGATATTGAAAAAAAATGCTCAATTCATTAGCCAGATTAACATACTATACAGTAATACATTAATGGAATATCCAACTGCTAAGGAAACCCTTATTGTGCAGTATAGGGTGCCCGGTCCAAACTGAAGCTCTAAGTACCAGTTGGCAAAAAGACTGCAGACAAAGCAATGTTTTATCAGATCCATTTATTGTAACTGTCTATTCTCAGCTGGATACCCCAAGGAGTTGTGTATATGATTTTTTTTCTCTTACCCTCCCCCACATGAAATTAGTAAATCATCTTAATCTGGTGTCCTCTGAGTAATATTTCCTATAAAATATAAGGGTTCAACATGTGTGGGAGTTGCCTGAGAATCTCAGTACTAGAACACATTCTTCTGTAACAAAGAGCAAGTTAAGTGCTCAGATCTCTCGGTATATTTTCACATCAGCAAATAACTTGCATCAGAGAATTTTCTTTACAATTTAGTAGAAGCAATCTGTTCATTTAGCTGGGTTGAGGATGTGGCATTTAATGCACAATCAGCTTTATTTTAGAGGATATAGATCAACAATTCACCTGTTTTCTGGGGGGAGGAAAACACAGAAATTTCACAAGGCTTCAATCTTGTAACAAACTAGTTAGACATCCATGGGGGCTCACTTCCTCCCCTGGTGATACTGTTTTCATTACAAGCTCTAGTGGAAGAGCTCTGCCCCATTAAATAGTATACAAATAGTTCAGGGTATCAAAGGAACTAATCATTCCTAAATTACACATTCTTGTTATAAACCAACCCCAGACATTTAAAGCCTGAGAGTTTTTGCATTTTTTAAAAATGATATAGGTCTTGGTTTTCAATAAGATTAATATTTTTACAACATAGTTAAGTCACAGGCTAAGAATAGAAGTCCCCATATTATTCTTCATTGAGGACTACAAAAATCTGACTGCGTGTGCTTCAAGTGGTACCCATGTAAAGAAAGACTTTAGATTTGTTCCAAGATTCGCTGACAGCAATAAAAGACATTAAAGTAATGAAGCAAAAACCATTTATGAATTATTAAAAGGGTCTGAAAGGGGATAGAATTTAGCTTTGTTGGTTTAATTTTTTTTTTTTTTTTTTAAAGAATGTAAAAATGAGGTATTTTTGTGCCTAGACATGTAATCCTTAGGCAAAACTGACTTGTAGAGGGGGTCTTTACTGAATAAAGACTGATGGAGTGGTCTTTTAGTTGATGGAGGGATCAGTTTGTTTTCCTTATCCTTTTAGAGTATTCCAAAGGCTATTTCTAGGTTTGTAATTTACATTCTTGCCTAGTCGTTATAAAAGTACCTGAGGGAAAAATTCTATTTTCTGATTTATTTATTTTTAACTTGGAAGAAAAAAAGGGTCTGTGGTTTGAAGGTATAGTGACAAGGACATCTAAACTTGCATTCTGATATGAATGATTAGAAGTAAATAATGTTCCAAAGGTTAAAATATACATTTTAATTGTAAAGAAAAAAAAATCTCATGCACACAACCATTTGAGCTGTTACTGTGTTTTAATCAAAGATACTGCTGCTTAGCTGTGTTCTCCACCAGCAGCCAATTTAAAAAATGGATACATCAGTCAGTGAGTATTATTTCTCTGAATTACCAGTGTGTGAATGACCTATAGTTCTAGTTTCCATTTATTTTTGTAGCTTTGACAGACAAAATAAGTAGTACAGATTATACACATGGGTTGTTCTTTTAAGATTAATAGATGCACATAAATAAATATATAATCTTGCCTTCCTCTCCCCCAACCCCCAAGAGAACTCATGTTTTAACACTCAGTCTCATAGGCCTGGGCACCTTTCTAATTGTTTCTGCTGTTGGATTTCCCCTTTAATACCAGAACTCAGAATGAGCTGCTGATACACCACTTTAGTATTTCTTTCTAGTTATCCCTGTTGCCAAACCTGTCCTCTGTTCAGAACAGTATGAGGCTACTGTAAATACATCTTCAGAATTCTGCTCTGCCTACTAATTTTCCCTGGGAGCAGATATCAAGGCTGATGTTTAAAGAAACAATGAGTCAAAATCTTGTGTCTGCTACAGTTGCATCACTGGAGTGACCAGCTGAAGTTTTAAGTAATTATCAAATATTGTAACGATCAAGAAAGGCCCACTTGAAATTACAGTATTATGATCCATTGTATTTAGTGTTTGTGGTCACCTTCGGATTACACACGGGTTGTAGTTCAAAAGGTTCACGGTTGTTTTTTAATTTAGAAAAGCACTATAACTTGCCCAACGTTATAAAATGATACCAGATGTTACACAATACAAGATTACATCAGTATCTCCCCTGCTCGCTACTCAGTTTACATTCAGAGTCTAGCTAGAGATTAAGGAAAAATTTTTAACTGGCCTTGAAAATGTTTTATAGATTCTGTTCAGGTCCTATGCTCTAATTTACAAAGGTCTTAATGAAGCAGTTTTTCCAGGAGTATGTGTGTTTACCTCTTTCATCATACCAATCTGAATGGTCAATATGAGCTGATTTTAAAATAGGGGACAAATAGTGAATGAATTCTTGGAACATAATGAAAATTCTCTAGAACCAAGGATGCTTGAGTATCCCATCTGAAGATGATTCTACTTCTGACCAATATATTTTTGCATATTTTTCTTGTACAATTTTGTGTGTCCTAACTATACACGCAGATCAAGGAACTATATAAATAAACTGGGAAATAGTTTGTTTCTTTAACAATAAGGTGAATGACAAGTGATCATATTGCAGCATTTACTCATTTTTGCCTGGGTGAGGACTGTAGGATTTGCAATTAAAAGTGCCTTTTAACTTTTGGATAGGAAAGAAGTGCCATGTCAGATTTTTACTTTGTTCCTGTTTAAGTTAAAAATAATTTCCTTTCTTCTATACCTTGTCTAATCAATAGCCTGCTTGTGAGTTTCTTTTTTGAAGTTGGCATTAAAAAAAAAGGAGAATTCTAGTGCTGATTTCCTTTTAAGCCCTGATCCTGCAAGTTATTGTACATAAGCACAGGGTCTGGCCATGGAAACTTGCAGGATTGGGGCTGTAGTGTGGAATAAATCAATAGTTTGAGAATACTGGATGGGATTTATGACAATTCCACAAAGATATTCAACTATGTTTCACTGCTGTGGGGACCGAATTGTATAGCTAACTATTCTTTCACCAGTCTTGCTCTAGAATCACAATTTTGGTCAATCTCTTAATTAACTGAAAAGTCTTGACAACTGTTTTTCATTTTTCTTATACATTTTACTTACATTGAAAACTTTAAGCAATTATCAAAGGTTTGCTAGCAGAAGCTGTCTCTTAGTATACATCAAATAATACTGTAATGGACAGTATAGAGCAATATTTTAAAGCGGTTATTTAAGACAAGAGGCTGCCTACTTAGTTTTTGACACAGAGCAATACTTAAGTTTTGTGTTCATTTTTTTTCCCACTTGACTTTCCCCATTTCTCTTTTTACCTCAGAGGTACATCTTTCACTCTGGATGATTTTTGTTGAATGCAAGGAGAAGAACAGTCTCAGCAGGATTTCCTCCCTCCCCCCACCCCATTTTAAAGGTCTTGTTTTCAGAGTTCCCTCAACTGGAACACAATTAAATATTTTGGGGGAAAATGTGACATTTTAAATGTCACTGGAGTACACAGCAAAATCTGCATACCCATATTACCTTGGGAGCTGGTCACCATCTTCAAAATTAAATGGGGCCATAAGTAGTCCATAGGATTTGGAATGACAGTGGAGATGATTTTCTCAAAACAAAATTAATTCCAGGTTAGCTTTCCATCAGGCATCGCTGCTCTGGCCTGTGCTATTAGCTCTCACTTTTATGCCTATATAGGAGACAAGGAGAAAACCTGTATCGTACCCATCCCCATCCTTGGCTGGTTGACACTATTAGGCAATGCCATGTCTAGTTTAGAGTGGAAGTTTAAAAGGGCAGAGCCCATGTCTTCTTACTTGCCTGTAAAGCCCCCCGTACCCTTGGGCAAACCACCACCACCAGAAGACAACATGACATCATCAACTAAGGCTGGATTAAATATTTGAGGGCACATGCACCCTTTCACCCCACAGTAGGTCACACACCCATTATTTAGAAAGGTACCACTGAAATGCCGCCACCTCTGGGTGTCAGGGCAGCAACCAGACAGCACAAAATGGGGTGTAGAGGGGGTGCCCGAGGAATGGGACGTGGGGCCTGCAGGCCCCGGGCAGAGCCAGGTGCTCTGCAGGTTGGGGTCACGGATGCCCCCCGTTCCCTACTGGCCCGTGTCAGTGGGGCGGGGCGGGGCGGGAGTACAACCCCCCACCCCCTAGCCTTCACCTGACCCGCCCCGCCGTGACAGACAGCCCCTACCGGTCTCGAGTGCTCGGAGGCGGGGCGGCTCGCCTGGTCCCAGGGAAGCTCCACAGCCGGCACCTGCTACAACGCTGGGTGGGGGCCAACGGGCCGGAACCGTCAGCGGCCCCGGCTGCTTTGGGGACTCCTGTCACCGGCCCCCGCAAGCTGCATGGCGGTGAGTGACTGTCCGTGGCCGTACACCGGGCTGGGGGGTGGAGAGGGCTCCCAGCCCCTCACGGCACCCGACCATAAACCTACTGCCCCTCCGCAGGGCTCCCTGGCCCCGCCGCCCCGCACTCCAGCGCGCGCCCCCCTCGCTGCCCGTTACCGGCCCCCCATACACACAGCGCGCGCCCCCCTCGCTGCCCGTTACCGGCCGCACATACACACAGCACG